CTGCGGCTTTGCCTGCGAACTCCCACCCACAATCAACGATGACATCCCCTCGGGAGCTCAGCCAACCATCATTGTCGATAAGGGCCATCAAGCTTCCAAAGAATCTGAAACCCCATACCCTTCTCTGCCTGACTTCTTATGAACCCTGGATCGAAGACCCGGACCCTGCAGAAAGCCTTATGTATCGGAGCGCCTCAGCCCTACCACAGGCCGAGAGGAGCGAGTTGTACACCTCGTCGGATTGACAAACTTGGGTTTGCAGGAATGCAGATAATTTAGATTCAAGTTCAGAGCTCTGAAAGAAAAATTACCAAAAGAGCCTTAGAAAGTCGGGCTGAGGCGGTGGATCTACACTTCAGCAAACCCTAATAGCATTAAGCCTTAAGAGCCAAGAAGCGGATGGAGGCGTGTCTGAGGACTCCTGTGCCGATCGCAAACCATACTGCGAGGCCCTGGTGCACGTTAAAGGGATTTTACTCGGGTCTTAACAACCTTTAGAGGATCGGACGTAATTAAAGATGATTATAAGGACTAGAAGGTTCGGGTCAGTGCCCGAAATGAGAGAGTTCAGGTACTTTTCCCTGACCGTATAGAATACAAGCTGACAGCGCTGCCGAAGATATGTATGACGAGAGCTACTGTACACAGTATCAACTAAACTGGGTAGTCAAAGTGTGGCAGTGTGGTGATTCGGGCATTTTTAACACTTACCTATGCGAGTGCAGATCTACATGACTTTACCGCTTCTGTGATGAGCTGGAAACGAGGGGAACAGCTTTGTGTAGGCTAAACGTTGTGGCCTGTCCGTTGGTCCTCGGCGGATGTTTGGCGCGGCGTTGCTCTTCATGAAGCTCTTGCAGGAGCGCACCGGCCAGAATGCAAGCCGAAACGTTAAGCCCTGAACCCCTCAACCCAGCACCCCAGCACACCCTAAGCCCCCCCCCCCCCTTCAACAAAGGATGGAACAACCTACAGCAGGAAGCCGTGAGTCGATCTGTGTATCGATTAAGCGCAGGCCTTGTAGATTAGGGCTTTAGACGGGTGCTTGGGGTCTAAGGTTACGAGTCAGGGGATCGGTATAGGCCTTGGGCTTGCAGTTTACCATCGGACTTAGAGTTCAGACTATAACTAGGGTTTTATAATTACTGTGTCATGTAACAACCGTCTGCGAACTGCCCTTGTGGTGATTTTAGCCTCGACGCCCTGATCCTAGACCTCAGACTCCAAAACTCGCAGCAAACAATCCCAATGCAGAAACAAACCCAGACCAGCGGGAACCGTAAGACCAAAACAACACACCCTCCTCACTCGGAGAAGACGGTCCTCCGGGCGAGCTGAGAAGATGGCGAGTGCCCATTCCTTCAGATCGTTTGTTCGGTCTTGTTAGGGCCCGGGCTACAGTTCATCATGTAAGGGGGTCTGGGCTTTCAGGGACTCGGGATCTCGGAGTAACTACGACAACGCTATACGGGGTGCTCTATTCTACAGGTTCGAGGCTGGTAGCGACTAAGATTGTAGGGTTGAAAGAAGAGGTTTGTAGGTTGGGCTTAGGGCCCTCGTCCAGGCTTCCGTCGGGCTTGCGGTTTAGATTCATTCCTGCAGCAAGATGGGCGTCCGGTGCTTCCCCGGCGTCGTTCTGAATCATGTGCGAGTGTCAAAACTATTCACAAGAACTTAGGAAGCTGACTGTTGCCATGCAATATACTTGCAGGTTCACACATAGTGTCCAGTAGCGATATAAATGGCTTGCATGAAGTATGAAGTATCTATCCTATTGTTGCCTCAATTGCAGCACGATATGTACTGACTGATAAGTAGCTACAAGCCTCCAAGTAAGCTACCGGGAACTCTGTCTAGGTTAACCCTGCTACTCCTGATGAGTGCAACCACTGGCTCTGGCCCAGGAACACCACCGCGACACATGCATCAACACGTTTTGGGGATTTCGGCGCTGGTCGGCAAGCTCTCGAACTGGGCATGTCACAAGACCTTGAAGTCTTTCTATGCCCCATTCACACCGGCCTGGGAAATCCATTCAACCAAAGGTCGAACACATCAAGCTGAGGTACCAAGACAATGCAAGAAGGCCCCTTCAAGAGACCGCATGAAACGTAAGAAGCCCATATTTGAGATCAATATAGATGGAGCCCAAAACGATTTAGGGGACTTTCGCATCACTGCAGCACGATGAAGACAATCGTACCTCGACTGCGCACATATGAAGCCGCAGGGGCGACGGCTGTGGTGGTGACGGCAGGTGTGGTGGCGATGGCGGTGGCCGGCGCCAGGACACAGCGGCGTGTGACAGTTGCCGTTAATTCGAGGCTGATTGTCGGCAGCACGGTCAGTTCAGTTTTCACATTCGTCATTAGCATCATCACCCTCGTAAACATCATCATCATCATCATCATCATCATCATCATCATCATCATAGTCATTGTACGCCAAGTCGTCGTCGTTCTCCTCCTCATGCTCGTCATCACCATCAGCAGCACCAGCCGTACCAACAGGCACGGTACTCACATTCTGCTCCTTCTTGGTCCTTCTTCTGCTTAACCCAAGTGGCCTCGCAAGCTAGGACGATGATGACTCTAGAATTCAAGCCTTAAACCCGAGATGCCAAAAATCCTCAGCCCCTAGACCATCCTAAACCACCTTCCACCCCTAAAGCCAGAACCCTAAACCCGAGTTCGACTTGGAACATGCCCAGCGTTGCCGAAAACCTTCCCGGCTTTGCCGGGCCTCGACTGAGGATGGCGGCGTGGGCTTAGGGAGCAAAACCCCAAAGGGGGTCTGGGGTCTTAGGGCTTGCGGCTAAAGGTCCAGGATGACACGAGCCCAACATGTCTTAATTCAGAAACATACCTTGAACTGCAGGGGTTGCTTACATCTCTGGGTCGGGCTACTCTTCAAATATTTACTGGGCTGTAGTTTGAAAAATTAGGGAAGCTCGATCCTTACCTCTGGCTCTCAGCATTGCTAGTTTGTACCCTACGAAAGCTGTAGACAGTTGAAGGATGTGCACACACACATATATATATATATATGCAGATATGGAGAATGCCTATACGTATTTGTAACATTATATGGATTACCTATTAATATATATATATATACATACATACATACATACATACATACATACATACATACACATCATTAGGACATAGACGGACAGAGAGAGAGATAGAGAGAGAGAGAGAGAGCGAGAAAGTGGTGCAGTTACTCGGCTGGGGTCCAGCCCTTAGGGCTTCAGGCTTGCCTCTCAGGCTCAGGTTTTGGTGTGATTTGGGACATCTCGTGTCCGGTTAGGGGTTGACAGTGACTCTCCACTGCTGAGGTTCAAGTCAGTATACTTGCAGAATGTTTCCGAGAATGTACCGACGTCGAACAGTCCCAGTTCAAACCCTGCCTTTCGTTTCCGAAGAAGTACGGCAACAAAGGCGCCCAAATGGACTGCCGTATCGTTGGTTTACAACCCCTGGTTACCGGTTGAGCTGATTGAGATTCTACCAGGCTTAGTTATAAGGCTTGCCCTCTTCAAGGGTTTCTAGCGGACGGTATGGCTAGCTAGAGTGAGGTGTTGGGGGTTTTCGTAAAAAAGTGTACATGGACTCGGATGATAAAGGGCACATATTCCAATTCTTGATTATTGAAGCTCCTACAACGTCCTGTACTGTAATACACTGAAATCAACACTTTAACCCGATCCCGATTTCCTTCGACCTAAGCCCCCTCGAAGCCCGAGATGGGACATTCCCACATATATACATGGAAGCAGCTTTTTGCCTGCTTCATGAAGAGATTCCAACAGCCTAGGGTCCAAGTGCTCAAGTTGCACATTGTACATACCGGCAAGGCGCGAAAATCTGAAAGGCCTGCACCGCTTAAGCACTTGGACCCCTAGGGATAGGCATCCGCTCAGCTTCGCTGAGGGATAGCTGGGCAGCTCCTGTCCACCTCGTGGACTACCAGTAGCTGTGCAGCGCCTGCTTAGTGTTGCGAGTCTTAAGCCTTTAGAGGTTCATAAGTTTTTGGGGTTTGGTTTGGAAGCTTACATTTTGGGGTTTAGGTCATTGCGTTACTGCTGCGTGTTGGCAATGTCACTCTTCAGTCCAAGTCCGGGAAGAGGTCGAAAGAGATCACCAAGGCGGCTTTGTTCAGACCTGCAATGTCACTGTCGCAAGGCAGCGTTTCAGAACCTGGCAAGTTCAAGTATGTAACGACCATATGCTCCCCGAGGCATGAACCTACAGCAACTACTGGCATTCGCACCCCTATGCCCCAAAACGAAAGCATACACAACACGTCTTGACACCCTATCCTACAAGACTCCCACAACTACCCAATTCTTGGGTTGTTTGGACCTGGGGACTAAATACCAAGCGGAGTTCCAAGGTGAATACCTGTTCAGCAATTGCGTGGAGGTTTAGATGCAGGGTTGGGGGATTGTAGGATACTACTAAGGGGGACATCGAGTTATGGGTACATTAGGGCCTCGGCAATTCCGGATTCACCCAAGCCTCAATAACCGCCGAACCGTAATTGGTTTGAACTGTGGTCTCCTTTGAAGACATTTTGAAAAGTAGGCTCCTGCAAAACAACTCCTAGATAAACAGCGACATCATTTTTGGGGGCTGTGTGCCTTGCAAGAATCTTTTCCCATTCTTCATGTAGGCTTTATATCGGGTTTGGGTCCAGAGCGAAACTTGCAATTCTACATACTGCGCGACGGTGTTTGTGAGAGCCACAACCCTTCAGTTGAGTTACCATTGCCACGGTCATTCGCATTATGATGTTTGTTGTCATTATAAAGCACATGTATTTATTTCGGGAGAGGTATGAAAATATGTTTGTAAAGTGTCGCAGAAGCCCCTCTCGAACTGTCGACACCTTACTTTGGGTTTAATTCTGTTCCTAACGGTAAGCTACTGTCAGACTTGCAAAACTTAATTGGCTCACACGCCAAAACCGACAACCTCAACCCAAGTTTAGTGATAACGCCAAGCACGTAGGCCATGCGCGAACCTGTCTTGCCAGGCTTGCCCACAGCTGCAACCTGCGACAGGTCCACGCCCATGACCTGGGAAACCATACTTCAAGTGACAGGAGTCTTTTTTGCAAGCTTATTTCTTCACCGCACAGTGTTTAGGATTCAGATTCTCAGACTTTCTGGTTCATCCCTGGGGATCTATAGGTTCCCTGGTATATATGAAGGGAGATTTGAGAGTTAGCTGTGGGGCTCAAGTGGTCGTTGGGCTTCATGGTCGGATTTGGGTTTTGGCTTGGGGTCCGGTCAGCATCAGGGTTCTGGGACCCCTTACTGTCTCCAGCTTCTGGCCTAACTTGGGTTCAAGGCTGAGGTATCAGGGATATTGGCTGGCGGCGCATTCAGGACACGTTAATCCAACATTAAACGTTACGCCATAATCCATGGACTCCCAGAAGGTCCAAAATTCGGTGAAGTGTCTTCAGAACGATGCATATCCTACAATGCCTCACACGTGTGGGACGAATGGAAGCTTGAAGCAGCGGTAAAGTAAATCCCAAACCCAAGAACCCCACACCGTCATTTTTGCTGCCACCATTAACGCCACAAGTCCCCCGAGCGTCGTGCTGTTCTGCTGATAAAAGCACAGGCCAGAGATCTGAGGCTCTGACACCCATGGTCGCAGCGCAGAGTGCAGCCTTTCAGTTGGAGGTTTTATGATGTTTCCTGATCTCTTCAAAGGGGAAATCCCTGAAACTAAGGGTGCCTCAGTTGGAGTCCTGACAATTGGGATCGTACTTGGGAGTCGACTCTCTTCTTACTCCGTCAGGGATTCGAGGACCAATGATTAGGTATCAGCGGTGAGGGGGATCTACCGGCAATGGGGGGCTTCAGCAGTTGTGTTATCGTGTATAGGCTTTGCTTCAGGGTAGCAGCCTTCTCTGGTCAGAAGCTGCAAGCAGAAGCCAATCCTCTCATCCAGCACATACTCTCAGCAAGCATTGCTGACCTTTTCTTCAAGCGAACCAAAAGGATCCCAGGCAACAAAGTACCTTCGTTTGTGAACCTGAGCACTTCAAGGCATGCCCGGCCGAGTTGCCCGGCTATTGGCCACGCTCTGCCAGAACTCGTCTGTCCCGACACCGATGTCTTTGGTGTGCCCTTCGATAACCTAGGCTGCTCTGGAAAACATTTCGCCCGACACTTCCCCAAATCTTGAAACAAGAAGCCTGAAAGCCCCAAAAACTCCCGACACCCTTGACTAATTCGGCGATACCATAAAGCCCTCGAGCCCTCACGATTGGCCCAGAGACGATGGAGACCTTGAACATCTGCCAAAGCTCGCAGAGATCAGTCAAGATTTCCTTGGGGTTGGAAAATCCAAACAACAATCTGGAATGCTTAACAAGCTGGACAAAGGATTTCTGCAGAGAGTGAAGGCTTTACGGTTTGCAGTTCCATGATTTCGGAAGCTATAACCCAGGTTTTACTGAAGTTCTACAATGACAAGGTTCACCTCAGTCTATCTGTCCCGAAGTTGAATAAGATGGCCCTGGGGTTCTCTGGGCTTAAGAGGTTCGGCTTGGGGAATGAGACGCACAACTCTTCTACCTTCTACCTATGGCCACACACTTCATCACGGAAGGTGATTGAAAAGGCGACACTGCGTTCTCGATGCAGGGGCTCTGAAGACCCCACGAGTGAAAGGACTCGCATCAGCAACCCTAAGGCTGTCAGAAACAACACAAACACCAGGCAAGAAGTTCAGTAATACAGGCACGTCCCGTGCAAAGTATGAACCTGATTCACTGAAATGACGTCTAAACAACCTGACTCCTACGTCACCCATGCCGAAACCGAGCGGGCATTCTGCATGGCTTTAGGCTCGAAAATCTGTCAGGTCCAGATCTAAGATTCATGTTCCCAACTGACCACAGCTGTCACCAAAGTAACCCCACACTCCTAAGCTGAGGAGGACGAGGCACCAAGGCTTCCTTCTCGTTTTCGAACTCTGCAGTGGGCGGGTCATTCATGTTCTTCCGCTTGAAGTGGATTGGCCGCAGGAGCACGACGTCTCCTCGAAACAGATGCGCTTCAACCCTCTGCAATGAAATTGAACCGCCAAACACCCACAGAAATCTCCACAGACTGGCCGGAGGCTCCGTTGTTGAGGTTGATGTCAAGATTGCCTCTTCTCTGGATTTCGCTGACCTGGTCGGTGCGATGATAGCTAAGGATTCCGGAGACTACACAAAATCCTGTAGGTCGTAGCCAAACCTGAACCAACAATTTTTTGGTGGGGCAAAATTCCAAAATCGCTGACCCGTAAACCTGAAAACACACTGGGTTCGCTGAAGATACCGAAAATCCCACGAAACCCAAAGCCCGGCGATTCATTGGCCGCGTGGTGCCGGTCTGAAGGTCGTCTCGCCACTATCAATGATGAGAGGCTACACACGGCTGTAGGATGTGAGCTCTTAGGTGTACAGGCTTTCGGGTTCCGGGCTTGGCTTTAGGCTTGCGATGCCCTACGCTGGACTCAAGAGGAAACCAGACGAGACTGCAAAGACTGCTCGTGTCAATGTAGATTGAGAAAAAGTTTGGTCGGTCCAGTGAAGGGAGCCGAGGACAAACAATGCCCTTCATTCTGGGAATCCTCGGAATCTGCCTGCCTAATCTTCGCCGCAACCCACCGGATTGCCTTGTGCAGCTGCTGCAGAAGCGTCGGCTGTTCTGGCATCTCCATGCCTGTGACAGTGAAGTGCACCCAGACTCCAGAAACCCAACCTACGTTCGAAGTCACGATAGGCAACACCCAGTTGCTCCCTAAAACCTAGTTCCTGAGGTCAACGACCCGAAACAACTGCAACCAGGATTGAGAAACTTACCCAAAGAGGCCAAAGCTTCACCACTTAGCTGCAACGATAAATAAAGTGCGTATCAAAGGGGCGAGCGAGGATCTTTTCAACAGCCTCGCCAACGTCCTTGTTGGAGACGTGCGCTTGTCGTTCCCGTTTGCACCGCCAGAAAGAAACAACAGTTCGGCAGTTTCGGATCTCGGGACCTTAAGGGCCACCTTTTGGGACCAACTCCCCCTTCAAGCGAGCAAGAGTCGGGGATTTCGGCTTTCAGGGTGTCAGGGTTCGCACGAATACGTGGCTCTGCTTGGTGATGTGGCGTTCCCGCAGGCAGCTGCAGAACTCTGAGACTCTCAGCACCGCATGTGCAAGTCTGTTCAGCACCCCGCAAAAGATGACAGAGACTTTGTCGTGTCGTCTAAGTTCCCGGCATCAAACTTTCTGTTCAAGTCATCGATGTCCTGGGACAGCAGACAGGGTCTTCGACTCAGAGCATGTTTGTTAGTCTTACCACCCCCCCACCAGTTTAGAACGAGCCTCCGTGTGAGCAGTAAAGTAGAGACGTGCTTGCTCTGTTGGGTAGAGAGCCGCACAGGTGATCCTTAAACCCTATGCATCCTACTCTCTGAAAGCTCTGAAACTATCCAAAACAAACTGACCTTAAGTAGACAGATAGTAAGCACAACGACAGAAAACCTCACAGGAAAACAACAAACACCCGAAGCCTAAAGCCCCCTCTCACTGCTGGCCTCCTGAAGCCCTGCTGTCATCTCATCTTGAAGCCTTGTAAGCTCAGACTCCATCTCGTACTTGTACCTCAATGGATGCATGGTGCGTTTTCTAGCGGTCCCAACGTGAAGCCAAAGGCTTTATAGGATTTTAGGAACATCAAGTGATGCTTCATTGGATTTGTGGGTTGTTCTAGGGCTCATAGGTTTATGAGGTGTCTGTAGAGTTTTATGCGGGTTCGATTGGGGTTTCAGACAACTTCGAGATGTGCGAACCATATCTAAGAGGCAATTGGGCTTTACTTTGGATCCATCATGTTGCGACACTGTCATGCTCGGGGAAACTTACGAGTTTAGAGAGTTTAGGGCTCACGGGTATGGGGTGCAGGAACGACATAGTAAACAAACATTGGGGGTTTGGGAGGCGACACGGGGCTTTTGGTGGCCAGAGAAATCGTGGGCTGGGCGTTCCAGAGTGTGACAGGTCCTGGTTTGCCAGAATGCTGTCAGGCTTTTCGCTTGAGGCGAATCAACCTCAAAAGCCCAGCTACCAACAACAAACAACTGACAGTACCCATTTCGCAGTAACCTGCCGGGAAAGGGATTGGTAGTTACTTCTCCAAGTAAGCCACCGAATCCCGCTTGAAGATACCAGTGCTGCGCGAATGTAGAAAAGCCCGCTTTTTAACTACACATCCCACGACC